CGATTTTCTGATTCAAATCGGTTTTTGTTACACCCCTAATGTTAATAGAAAATGTAATTCGGTAAATTAGTTGTAAATAAAAAATAATTTCTAGGAAACCGGGCTGGATGTACTGTATCAGAAATGATAGTGACATGTTTTAAAACTAGTCCTAAGAAGTCTGGGAAAAACTGCCACTTTTATTTCAGACGAAGAACCAGTTTTACACATATGGAAATGAGAAATATGGTTTCAGAGAGTGGACCAAGAGTTTGTAGTTTTCATAGATTAATTAATTAATCAATAATAGTGAAAAAAATGTGCAAGGATTTGTACTTTAGAAGATATACAGACATGGCAGAGTTGGACATGGCAGAGTTGTTAAATAAGTAATGACCTTCACAACTTATAAAAATTCACAAAATTACCATACATCCACTGACTATCTATTGTATGAACAGGGTAACCTTTCAGCACTTTTAGCAATAATTTCTTTCTGTTGGAAACATTATATGCAACACTTTCTAACTGTTCTAACACTCCCTACTCTTGTTACACAACAGATAGTAACTAAACAAGACATATAGACATATAAGACATATATTTATATGACCGTGCTGTTAATTCAATATATTCAGGAGACACAGTCAGATGAGTATGACTTTCCCCCCTTGAATCATCTCTTCTGTGAAAATCACTCTAAGCCAGTGAAGGAACACACAGAAGACACATCCCATCTATCTCCATAGCTCGAGCAAATATTGAAACCCATGATGTGAGAGCGCCGGGTCTCCCTCTCCTCCTTCACTTGTGTGACAGATGTAAATGGACGTTTTAGCAGTTGGCTCTAATGCATTTTTAAACAGGCACAGCAGCAGACAGCAAATGAACGTGTCGCAACGGCAACACTCCACGACGGGGTTTCCATCTATCGCTGCCTCCTCCTCACATACAAACATACAAACCCATACTCACACATACGCACATGCGCACATGGTCCTACACACTGCTGAGAATAGCTGTCATTCATCAACTTTCTCAGTACAATGGGCTCAGTAAAGGTCCCATCTTTCAACTAAAGCACCTCCACACTGCGGTGCCCAGCCGAGCACTGTACCACTGCATCACATTCCCTGTCAGCCGCAAACACTCCTGCACAGTAGGATGGATAGATGATTGGGTGAAGCTGTTGTTTATTCTCTGAGTTGAAAATTAAAATGGCTCTGCTTTCCTAGATGACAAAAACCAAAGACTGTTACTGCTGATTAGACCACACGCACAAACAGGGAACCCAAGGCACCCACCCAAAATGCTATGATTGAGCTTCTCAGTAATGTTGAAAAGTGAAAAACCTTAACTCAAGGTCGCAAAGAGTCTGCTCGGATCAGTTGTCATCAAGTGACCGAAGTACAGAACGGGTGAACCGTGTTAACAGATCATATCAGATCATAATTACCAATCTAGCTAATTATGACAATGTGGTTGAAAGCTCCAGAAAAACATACAACTTAACTGCAGTGGCTTTTAAGATTATTTTGTCCAACTACTACTTCAAATGTTCAGTTTTAGTTTTAGCATTCTTATTGCACAATTACTGGAACTAAAAGGCTAGCACTACATGTACTGCACTAGGAAATGTCTGGCTCTGGTTCTGATAAAGAGCATACAACAAACAGGAACATACAGGCTTTAGTACATAAAGCTGCATTTCAATAGGAAACATCCACTCACTTAGCTTGGTGGTTAAGGCTTATTATGGTTATTATGTGTATGAGTTTATATTTTCTGTGCCGTTTGTATGTTTGTCAGCAGGATTATGGACAAAACTACTAACCCACTTTTCATGAAACTCACAGGGTGGATACACTAATTATTTTTCACACACAAAATGAACTGAATTACTTGTGGGGGCAGGCACGAACCTGTCGTAATAAAAATGAATGGTATGCCGTGACTAACATCACATCACTGCATAAATGATAACAGATATGTAAGAAAGAAGCAATCTGGGATGGAATAGCAGCTTGTCCAACATGAAAATGTGACCCACGTGAATCATGCAGATCCATAAAATATATTTTATGGTTGCTCTAGCTTCTTTGTGCTCTCATCTGGGTGGTTGACCAGGGGCGGTGCTTAGGTCCTACACATGTGCGCACACACACACACACACACACGGCAAGCAAGAAAAAGAAATGGTGGGTCATGGGTGCGAGCTGAGGTGCAGGTTTGTTGGGGGTCAGGAGAGGACGTGCATTTTCGCTGTTTGTAAGAGTGTATACATGTGATGCTAATACTACCCACTGTGCAGCTGGATTTGAAATGTGTGTCTGTATGCCGCTCTTTTTGGTAGATGTGATTCTTTGCTTGAGTTTTATTAATGTGAGGCATTCGTTTTTAAATGCAATGTATGTGTTGTCAAGGTGATAAAGAACTGTATTTGCTTGTTTTTTGTGTGTTTGCTTGTGGTTTCCTGCATTGAATTATTGGCCGCTGTAGAAAAAAAAATGACATGATGAATGCATAGATTAATGCAGTCTCTGTGTATTTACTCCTAAATAATGCAATTTCCAAAGAATATGAGGGCCTGCGTGTTCCAGGACAGGATGTGATAAATATTGTATACAGCCTTGTTTTATTTTGTTTGTTTTTTTTCTCTGAGGGTTCTACTGTAGCTATTTTTTGGATTCTGTTTGATGTAAACATGTTTTGCAGGACGACGCTGAGGTTACAGAGGACGTTGTGTCACTCATTCCACTATCTCTCATCTTTTTATGTCCATTGCCTTAATTTGAGGAAATTAAAGAGATATTTTACCCAGTAAATAAGTTTGCCAGCAACTGTAGGGTGTTGATGTGGCATTGTGACTTGTGTACACTATAAAAGTCCATTTAAAACACTCACATTTCTTTACATAAATCTGTATTTTGCTCAATCTCATCTCAAAAATCCACCAAAAGTCAACTTTAACAGCATTTTGGTGAATTATCTCTTTAATTGTCACCCTCACCCTGCTAACAGTTTGTATTTGAGCTTCCTCATGGACACTGAACAGATCTTTCATTGCTTTTGTCATTGCAGGTACCCATCAGCACAACTATAACCATGTGGCTCTAGGTAGCCCTACACGCACACCTAAGAATGGTAAGACAAACTAGCGGGACAGGGGGAATATTCAGGAGAATTCACAGCTCAGTTGAGTGTTTGAGATGAAGCCTGGACCTGGGCATTAACTGGCATATGGTGCTTGACATGGATGTGTGAAAAACCCCTTGACATGGTCCTCCTTTCAATTCGCCCCACCGTGAATCCATTCTGTTATTGAAAATGAGGCTTTTTTGTTGGAGATTGAATCACAAAAGTGTCACATCCCATAGTCATGAACATTTTTCTGTGAGCGAGATCAGGCAGTGCTCGCTGTCCATGTCTTTTTTAAAGGGAACACAATTGGCTGAGGATCAACTTAATGTTCTGTCGAGGAAGGGTAGCGGGTTGCATAAGGATGCAAGGTGGAGGCTGGAGAGAGGAAAGACAGCAGACGTAAAAGGAAAGAAAGGAGGCCATAAGCTGAATATTCACTGCCTTCTGTATTTATCAAATCACTCTGATCTTACCATTTGATTTATATTCTGTTTGTTCCAAACACAAATATAAAAAAAATGCTCGCTCTTCAGCATGGGGTTATTCTTTATGGACATAATTGACCATGTGGTCCCATTTCACACATATATACTGAAACACACACACAAACACACACACACAAACACACACACGGATAAGAAAACTGCAACTATGGACAAATGCCTTGGAGATCTATGGTAAACATGAAAAATCCATTTCAACAACACATCTAACACAGAGACTTTGATCACAGGCCCCCTGAAAGGCTTCAAATTTCAGCATGCAGTGTAGTTCTAGATAAAACCCGCTGCCCCCCGCCCCCAGCAGCAGCCTGTGACTGAAACAACCAGGAGATACAGCTGCAAATCACAAGCAGAAAATGCACAATCCTACACACAAGTGTACATCACATGCCTCAGGAAGTAGAATCTGATTTGATTTGAATTCTTTTTTGACGGGTTAGGGGGTGGGGGGGGTTCTGTACTAGTCATGCTGAACATGGAGCAGGTCTTTGTAGGTTCTGTTTTCTCACCATCAACATGTTTCTGAAATATTTGTTTTTCACTTGGGTTTGGTAGCTCACCGATCATTGAGGCGTGGTAAGTCATGCATACATACGTTTATGTAGTGTTAAAAACTCATTCATCACATTCCGGCACAAATCTGTGAACTCATACACCGCACACCAACCCCTACGTTTGTGTCGTCCTCCTCCCACTTAAACTCGTGTTTTTTCAGACCTGATTTAACTAGCATTTGCTAACAGTTCTTGATCTTTGTTTGAACCTAGCTGCTTCAACAAGAAAAATCTGTGGTTTGTCATGTGGGCCATAAAGGTCCCGGAATCCTTTTTACCCATGAAAATCAATTCATGTGAATGCTAATGTACAGGAGCAAGCATGCAATAAAGTGTCATTTGTGTTATTCTGTATTTTTCTTACTATCAACAAAAGCCAACTGTTTGTGGCTCTCAGCTCCAACCCTATTGGTCCCAATAAAGATATAAATCTTTGAAAAGGGGTCACAAATGCAATTTTTTTTTAAATAATTAACTAAAACAGCTGGGCACTGTAGTTTTAGCAAGCCTCAAACAGATGGAAATTGTGCATTTGTTGGGGCTATTGTCAGCCATAGATTAATGGCACCAGGACAATGTATGTATAATAACATCTGGTTACAGCGTTGGAGACGGGGCTCAGTTCATTCCTATGAAAGCTGCTCAGTAGCTCATTAAGCCAAAAACCAATTCCTGCTGTAACATTACTCAGATGAATGCATACTGCCCATGCTCTGTGGGCCCCAAATGGGGTCAGCATGTCATATGTCCAGAGCTACTGATAAGTTAGGGCCAAAAAAAGCAAAATAAACCCCCTTTCAACAACAAATTGGCTAACATGAACAGAAGTGTCAGGCAGAAAAAATAAAGTAAAGCAAAATCAGTCTGATGATCAGGATATGTGAGATTGACCTGAAAGATACTACAGTGCCAGTGTTTATCTGAATGAAGGAACACCCAGTGCCCAGTATAGGCTTTGGCTAGAGATGCAGTACATGTTAGGAACAATTAATTATTGGTTTTGGTCTTCATACTGGATTTGTTGGCAATAAGAAAAATATAAAATATCACTAGACTTGTCTTTTTAAGATTTGCAAAGACTATTTGAGCCAGGTCTGTGTGGTGTACTGTCCATCGTGATGAAGCAGTGAAGTGTGTTTGCAATTGAGATAGCTAACAGCATGCCACAGTCTGAGTCGATTCTCCCCTTATTGATGCAGTGTGGCAGACAGTCCACTCACAGATTGTTCACATCCTTCGAACCCCCTCCCTGCAGCTCCCAGGACCCCCTGCTGTTGCCCGGCCCTGCAGCCATCCCTCCGTCCTAAGCTTCCCTCCTTTTTTCACCCTTCTATTTTCTGTCCTTCTTGTATTTCACTCTTCTTTTTTCCCTTTTAGATTCTCTTATGTGCATCTCTTCTTTTTCCTCTCCTTCTCTCCATCTGCAGCAGTTACTAAAGCCCTATTTTTATCTATCCATTTGAGGCTGGTCTGGAGCCGCACCCATGCCCGCTGCTCTGCACTGCGTGACAGACTCACAGCCCCACTGGGGAAAGCGAGATAGAGCAGGAGCGAGAAAGAAAATGAGAGAGAGGGGAACACTGAATGGACAAGAAAGAATTAAGGAGCTAAGGAAAGTGGGTGGCAGCATGGTAGGACAGATAAGATTGACAGAGCAAGGAACATGGCAGTGAATGGGACAGACTGCGGATGTTTGTGTGCGTGCATGTGTGAGAAAGAGAGATAAAGAGAAAGACGATGAGAGCGAGAATAAAAGAGGGCTTCAGTCCAGTTGCCCCCACCATGCGTCTTCCTGGCATCATATCACGTCACATCAACGACAGCCAGGCACCGGTCCCTGCCCCGTCCCAGATCACATCACAGCACTGTCACGAGCAGGGTCACTCTCCAGCACACATCTGTTGTTTGGTGTGTTGTCTCGTTTTTTTTTTCCTTTCTTTTTTGGACCGCTGTTTTCTTCCGTCAAACCACCAAGTCACCTGTCAAGTCAGTCCCGCACCACATGCTCACTGAGTGCCTGGTGTGACCGCCTTTACCCCCACCCCCCCATCACTGCCACCAGCAAGTTGGAGTTTTAGATATGCAACCATTTCTCAAAGACTGACACATTCAACCCATTGGCTGAGTTAACATAAAGCAAATGAACTGTTTCCTTGAATAAGTGATGTCAAACTTAAAAGGCAAAAGGAAAGAGACTAAGAGACCTAGTGCTTACTAAGTGATACTAACCTTAGACTGTATATGAAGCCAGCAACCAGGGATGTAGCCAGGATTCTACAAATACTGAGCTTAATGAGCTTAAAAAAGTACTTTGGATTAGCCAAAAAGACTTATAAGATATATATTCACTTAAAGCTCCAGTGCATAGGATTTAGTGGCATCTAGAGAGATAGTTGCAGATTGCAGCTCACTTGTTTCACTCTACCTTTCCAACCAAGGAGAAACTACAGTGACCATAAAACATGCGAAAAATACAAACAGCCTATCTAGAGCCAGTATTTGTTTGTCCCATTTGAGTTTCTGTAGAAACATGACGGTTTGACATGGGGACCATTATTCTTTAAGAGTCAGTTAGGTTTAGGGTTCAGTAGCATTTTATCCTATTTAGTTTCGCACGCATACCTCATGAGTTAATTGCTTCAAATACACAACCCAGTATCACGCCAAAGCATGTAATACACACACCAGTCCACCGTGGCCACGGTTTCAACACGTTCTCATTCCCCGGTCAACTAAGCAATAATAAATATGCAACGTCCAGTTATCCTGGTACTTTAAAAGTAAAGCTTGCTGAGGTCACAGTTCGGTTAGGTTTAGGCAACAAAACTACTTGGTTTGGTTCATGAAAAGATCATAAGTTATGTTACATACCTGATGTAAATTAAAGGACCAGTGTGTAGGATTTAGTGGCATCTAGCGGTGAAGTTGCAGAATTATTCCAAGGTAACAAATACGCAGACTTTCTGGCAATTATACATAAATGAAAACAAATCTTTGAATATTATATTCCATTTCTTAATAGATAACCCTAAATGTTACACACTGGACCTTTAAAGGAAAGCATGTCCATCCTTGCAGGTAGCAGTCTCCCTCCTCCCCTCGTCACCACAGAGTTCTCTTTCCTGATTGGATAAAGTGGGAACAGGATACCAGAAAATGTATTCTCTGTACTGTAGAAAGTAGGGACTGGGAGACCCATGATACTGAACACTCTATATCAGTGATTGCTGTCAGGATGTGGAGCTATTTAGAAATTAGTTTAAAAAAAGAAATATTGCTTACAGCACATTTTACTTTTAAATACATTTGTATATTGTATCTACCTGCATAAATTGTCTGAATGCTGTTTCAAGCTGTTTCCACAATGCCAGAATATAATTCTAGTGGGGATATACAAATATCCTTTTTAATTTAGTTTTATGGTCTAAAAACAGTCAAATTGAAGAATTTGACTCTAGGGTTAGATTCTGATAGTCAGCTCCATTTTAGATACTGTTCCCCACTAACAAACCTCTCTTACTGAGTCTTTAGTTCTCCTTTTTCGGTTTATCAGTAAAATACAGAGTACAACACATTCAGATAGCAGGCTTCTCATGTTTATTGAGCACTGATCTCTTTTGCTGCTTAAAATGACGGATTATTTGAACTATGGCTGTCAGTGGTTCAAAAAATCTAATTCAGTCTAATATGTAATTCATTTGAATAAAGTGGAATGCAGCCCATCCTAAAATACATTGCAGAATTAACTATCTTGTTTATCTATGTCTCTCTGCTCCCTCACTTGGCTGACAAGGTAACATTAATATCAGGCAGTTGTGATTTAAAAGCAGCCACACCTTGATCCAATTTCTTTCCACATATGGGGCTGAATCCAAAATGTTGCCTCACATTAGTTTTCAGATTAGGTTACATGTCGTGATTATCCATTCAGCCGTTCAGCTTGCTAGTTTTCTCCATTTAGTCTAGTTCACTGATGAAGCAACAGGGCATGTAATAGATCAAAGTGCATTTTAATAACACTCACTGCTGGAGTATGTAAGTAATGGACTGTTGTGCTCATACAATGAAAAAGTGACAGCGCTTAAATTAGCTGTAAGCTAAATGATATTTATGTCCGTTTATATCAAGAATCCGTATCTCTGAATTAAACTTTCATGTAAATATATAAAATATATTATATAACTAATAGTCACGTTTTGCCTCGCCTAGATGTGAAAAGTCCACGTGCGTATAAAGGTGCAGTATTAAGAGCGCCAACGTCTGAAAAGGGAGCGGGACAGGGCAGATGGGTCAAAGAAAGACAGGACTTTCACCCAGGAAAGGCAATGCTGCTGTATTTTACGTACGCAAGTTAACTTATGAAATGTACTTTCCGTCAAGTATGTAACGTTAATATCGATCTTTTCATAAAACTAACCAGAAATAGAAATGTGACCTCAGAAAGCTTTAATTTGACAGTGTAATAATGCGCAACATTTTTAATTTCTGTTCTTTGTCCTCAATGGTAGCTATACCCCTCGAAAACAACAATGAATTATTTAATGTCTCTAAAAGAGGTCTGAAGAGATTCTGGTGTCTATATTTTGTAATATTTTAAATGTAATATAAAATATAAACTGTGCTTCCACATATCCAACCGGGGATTTTTACTTTAGACCAATGAGATCATTTCAGAGCACCTCTGCCTCCAGGAAATATTTGTAAAACTAAAACTCCAGCCTGCTTTCCAGCTTCTTCCCTTCTCTACCTCAGCAGGTGCTCTTCCATGATGATCCTGGCTAGCTTTTTTTGGGGGGGGAGGGGGATAGGAGAAGCCAGCCTTCCCATTTTTCTCTCTTCCCTTTTCTGTGTCTGTATATGTATGTATGTGTCTCCAGAAAACAATCGGATAAGCGGCATCCTGACCTCGCAGACGGAGCCCTACGACCTGTCTTTCTCACGCTCCTTCCAGAGCCTGTCACACCTGCCGCCCTCCTATGAGGCGGCCGTCAAAGCCGACCTCAGCCGATTCTCGTCCCTCAAGAAACTCAGTAGGTCCAAGTTCACTGCACTAATGCAAGAGTAGGCTCCCTGCCCTGATGCCCTGCATGAAAAAAATACTGCATTACGTGTGCTTCCCTGACTCCTGACTGGGACTTACTGAGTGGCTCCGAAGTGTTTCAGCTGTGAAAATGATTTGCTTGCTATACTGAGGACATCAAGCTGTCGAGAAAAAGTACTCATTTTTCGAGGGAGATTTGCAACTCCCCATTGAGTAAACATTTCAGTGGATGAGATGGCCTTGAATCAGAATCAGTAAATACCCATTTCTCAACTCTGATCCTTCATGAAATCAGCCTAGTCATCTCAAGAAACTATGAGTCATTGAAATTCCATGCTTCCCTTGTCTCCACTTAAAGGCTGCAGCCACTATTTCTCTCGGAGCGTATAAGTATATTAAGCGGCTTCTTATGCCTGGCCCGGCTCGGTATTGATTTAGTGGTGCTACGCTGGATTTCTGCTGCGTAATGAGGTCTCATCTCATGATATTCTCTGAGTGGAACGCAAATATTCCTTAAGGCTTGTGTAATTTCATCATGACTGCCCCACTTCACTGCTGGCTTGCAGTCAAAGTGAAGGATGACGATCTACAACTCATCCCGTCAGGGCTCACTCCACACTGGCTCCAAATTCGTAGCTGCCAGGCACCATTTCAAACTAAATGGCAAAACGGGTTTGCAGGATGCAGTGCTATTTACTGGTCCTCGGTTGTGTTGGTAGAAAAAACAAAAACATTACCGTCCTTTTGCTTGATGAATATGAGAATTAACGTAATAGGTTTTGATGGGCGGTAAAACAAAACCAAATGAATTCAATTGTCAAAGATTGCAGCCCACAAAAAAGACGTTGTTAAAATGGAAAGATATCCTTAGGCAGTGTCCTTCAGTCTTCCCAACTTTCTTTCTGCTTCCAAAGCAAATTATTTGTTGCAGTAAATAGCCAAAAGGCTCTGCAGTTTCTTTTTGTTGCTCAACTAGTGTCTGTGCGCTGATAGATCATGTTGGATTGTGCTGGAGGGAAGATAGAGCAGCGTTTTCATTGTCGGGATAATAAAAGAGAAGAATGCTACTGCTTATTAATGCAAATTGGTATCAAACCAAAGAAAAGCATTTAGCCCATTGCAGTGCAGGACAGTATACATCATGAGTTATTCATTCACTCTATGGTAATATGGTTGATGAGTTTGCAATGCCCTGCCCAGATCTTGAAGACTATTATGCTTGAGAAAGGAACATCTTGTTTTTATTATCTCTCATAATGAATCGATTTGCAGCAAGCACCCGTGGCTCGCTGCTGAAGGGGATTTTGGCTGAGTGTAATCTTGACAGGTGGTGTGAACACTGCTGCAGCCATTATTGAAAAAGACAGGCTCAGACTCAAAGTCATCTACGAATTCTCAATAAGGTGGAGAGGTCTGCTCTCCATAATTTATTCCCACCATATAAATGACATGAGTGGTCACCTCTGATTTAGAATGATGGTTAAACATTCATGCTGGTGTTCATAAGGAGTGAAGAATTAGCATCTTCGTAAGAATGGACTTATAAATGTTTCCATTTATGCTGCATTTTGTCTGACAGTTTTTGTAAATGTGCGTCATTATGCGTGTGTTTATGTACTCAAAAACAAGTCTTTATGCATGGGTTTGTGTTGTGTGGCATGAAGTTGGTGCTACATTCACTCCTACACTCTACTGTCTCTGGAAATGTATTTTTGTCTTTCTGATCTGCTTCTAAATGCATGTTGTAGTTGTTTGTACACATGAATAAGGATGAAACATCCACCCAAGGACATTAAAACACTTGCAATTCTCAATGTGAAGTGATGCAATAGTGCAATAATACAATTAGCTTTCCAGCATGTATATATGAGGTGCCTGCGTGCTTCCCTTCCATATCTGTGTGACATGACGATGTTTGTTTATAGACTTTCACATGACCTTTGAAAAGTTTGCCCCCACAGCCAGAACTGCCTGTAGAATCCCAGATGAAGCCTGGATGTGTGGATGCTCTGTGCCTAGCATGTAATACAGTCTGACTGCGATTGCTCTGTCTCTCTCTATTTTCTATTCTCCTCCATGAGCTCGGAAAGGTGAAGCACAGATGGGCCCGCCAACACTCTTCTCTGCATTGTGTGCAATGTGCTCCAATCCCACTTTATCCGATTTCTCCCCTTGCATTCTAACACCTACCCGTGTTTCTCGCGTCTCTCTCTTTCACTCCATGAATCTCCACTCACCTCTTGCTTCTGTTTGTTTTTTTGTATTCCTGTCTCCTCAGCAGCAGATAAAGAAGTGGAAGACTACTATACTCGTAAGCGCCACCTGCCTGACCTGGCAGCAAGAGGCACTCTTCCATTGCATGTTCTCAAAATCAGTCAAGACCAGGTGGGTACACAAGTGCTTGGTTTAAGTGTGCAGGCGTCTAAACAAGGTCATGTTCTTTGCTTTTTATGTATCTCTGAGGCAAAGCAAGAGCGCTATTATTTAGTCTCCAGATTTGAATTAGTCAGAGGCTATACCTTCCTTCAGCAGTGGTGGGTGGTGGATCCTTTTACCTCAGCTTGTGAATAAACTCACCTCATTCATTTTTTGCTCAACAGCACCGGGAGCAGCAGCCGCAGCAGCTCCAGAGCCAGCCCCCGCAGTCCTCCATCTCCCAGGCCCCTCCCCAGTCGCAGGCTTCACAGCAGCCATCTCAGCAAAGGCAGAGGCCCCGTCGGGTCCAGAGGGCCATGTCCCAGGACCGCGTCCTGTCCCCGCAGAGGGCCCCACAGCAGGAGTACAGCATGTCATCTAATGGTATGTCGCCATACGGAGGCAGGATCCTCTCAGACGAACAGCTTCTGTCCGCCGAACGCCTTCGATCCCAGGAGCGTCTTCTTCCACAGGACCGCCATACTTCCCAAGATCGCCTGTACACCAAGGACCGCATCTACTCTAAGGACCGACTCCTGTCCCAGGAGCACCTCTACTCAAAAGACCGCCACTATTCTCAAGACCGCCTCTATTCACAAGATCGCCTGTACTCACAAGACCGCCTCCTATCCCAGGATCCCCTGCTCTCGCCAGATAAGCTGATGATGTCGCTAAAGCGCGGCATGGTCGGCAGCATCTCTGGCGGGTTTCGTGGCAGTGACATGTCAATGTCGCGCGCCATCTCGCACACAGACGTGTTCATACCAACAACCCCTCTTATGGATCGCTACAAGATGACCAAAATGCACTCCCATCCCAGTGCCTCTAACAATGGCGGTGGCGGGCCGCCGGGAGCGGGAGCGGGAGCAGGAGGCCCCGGGCACTCCAACACTTTATCCATGAACCAGACAGCATCTAAGAGGCAGGCGTTTGCCTCCAGACGGACTCATACTGTGGAACAGCTCCACTACGTCCCACAGCACCACCAGCAGCAGCAACAACAGCCACAGCACTACCGCACAGGCAGCAAGACTGAGGTGACTGTGTAACGGCAGCCGGGACTACCTGAACTGCACAGGAAGAAGCACTGCTGTGTGCTAGGGGTGGGGTTGATTGAGGTATGTGGGTACACTGGCCTTCTTTTAGAGTAGGATGGTGGCAATTTCATTTTCTTTGACTAAGGTTCCTGCAAAGTCAGAGATTCCAGGACCAAGAACATCCACTAGCTTACTGTGAGAGACCGGAAAACCGAGCTACACTGTACACTGCATACACAGGCCCAACTAGATCTGAAGCCAGAGAGGGTTGTGGATAGGGGAGCTGTGGTATTATCCAGCTAACTTGCCTACTATTATTTCCACTGTCTTGATTACCCCATTCATCCACAGGGTATGGCCTCATTCTGTGTATGTTTTAGTGAGAAAACACTGATTGTGTCTGTTTAAGCCTTTATCTGCCCCCTTTGTCCAACAAATCTATTCTGTGACCTTTTCTGGCGAATCTTAAAGGGCTTTGCATGGTTAAACACATAGACCGACTCCTCCGTGACTTCTGTTGTGCAACACAACACCACCACAAGTGATGAACTAGGATGAGCCTGTAATAACTTTATAAATATATAAATAAATGAATAAAAAACAACCATTTGTACTCCCTGTCCTACTCATAGCTCTAGAGAATCTCAATGAGAGAAATTGAAATGGATGTTATTAGCACTTCTATTTGGTGCCTCTGACAGATGTTCCATTTCTAACAACGAAGTGGTTTTGTGGGTTACAAAGCACAATCAATAAAAAAAATTCTGTTCTGTTTTTTATTTCGTTTTTGAGTTTGAATAGTGATGGCTAGCTTGTTTTGTTCTTAAAGCAATGGCAGGTTTTTTTTGCTTCCAGTAGATGATTGTAAATAAGCTATTTTAGAAACAGTATTATGGACAAGTCTGTACTGGATGGACTTTACATTAGACTGTCTGTTTTCAATAGATTCTTAAAAAAACAACTATAAAGCATCACTGTTTCGTGAGTTCAGAATAGAAACCCACTTAACCAAGTATTTGACAGGATCAATTAATACTATACTGTGTGTGTCTTTGCAAAACTGTTTGTAGGACAAGAAATGAATGAATGTGTTGTTGATAACAGATATACAAGTGTTCATATTTGGATGTAGACTGTGTTCCATTGACATCAGAGGATTTGAACATCATGGAAATGGATTATAATGCTTGTTACAGTAGGGTCAAATAAACCATCCATATTTTTCTAAACATTCAACATTGTTCCTTGAGAGATGTCTGTGTTGTGTGTTTGTTTTAAAAAAATTGGTACACCACATTACAACTGTGAGCTCTAGGTATACAATAATATTTCTTAAAGTCAACTCATGACAGTCAAGTCAAAGTTAGTTATTTTGCTATATTGTTGGTGTTGTTCATGTTCATGTATGTGTTTATTAGAGGTGTGGACATATGTCACAACTTAGATGACGAGATGACTATAGAGTTGACAAAATTCAAAAAGACTTGGAGTTGAACACCAATGGCTTGTGACTTCACATGGACTTGAGCCTTTTGACCGGAAAAGTATTTTTATATATAAGTACTTTCTACTTTGGAGCTGAACATAAAATAGGCTGTTTATAGCATTCTGAACAAGCAACCAATGCTGTCATTTTTCTTTTTCTAGAATTGTTTAAATTCAATTTCTTCTTTCTAACCTCCAGTTACCGAGCTTGCAGTGTGTAAACATCCGTTTTGTCCCAGCCCGCTGAGGTGTAACGCAGCCAATGAGATTAATTCTGCCTCCAGAGCAGCTCGGCCTCAGAAAAATGTTTGTGTAATTACAACTTCAATCTGCAAACTCTAACAGTTTGCTTTTACAGAGGTGGGGGTCTCACCTTATCTGACGTTATGTCACAGTCAGATCCACATCTTTAACTGACAGTGTCACCATGATATATGTTATGTTATATATATATGCACCAGTGTTGCCTGGGGGCAGTACTTCAATTTGACATCTGAATTAATATGGTTGACTTTAATGTTGGTCAGCGCCCTTTTTTAAATTCATTGCAATCCGTGGGTGCGAACGACAATTCTCACAGCAAACAACAGTGCCTGCAATTGCACTCCTCCACAAACAAGAAAAAAAGCGGAATAATGAGTTTGGCTTTCCAATTTACACTGATCCTCCAGCCCATCAGCATTTAAATGAAAATATGAATCTGCAATCAAAAAGAATCTATGGATGGGAGAGCAGCTGAGGCGGGAGAGGTAAGATGGCTACGATAGCCTGAGACAAGCACTGCAACTCAAGCTGAGGGAAGACGAGGAGACTGGCCAAGAACAGGGCTTTCCATAAAATAATCAGCAGCGTTCAAACTGTCTTTCCACATCTCATATGGCACACGTTTCTTCAGCAATGTATTTCATTACCTGTCTCTTCCACTTTTATTGCAAACATGATCCGGGGCCAGAGGGCTTATTTGTTGGTTAAAAATTTAGTTTGCGCTCTCTGTACTTCTCCATTTGTCCCTTATTTCTGCAGTCCTGGTGGTGCTGTCAGTGAGCGCTGTCACATGTCACAATCATGTCTGGATGATGAATAAATAAAGAAATCATCCAGTTTGAATCCTCAGAAACATTTCCAGTGACATTCTGAGGATGTAGTGCAGACAAACAAACTTACTGGATTTTCTGGCTTCTGGCCTGCAAAAAGGTGCCAAAAGTTTTCTGGTGTTGGAAAATTTTATGTAGCTAAGGATACCTTTCCAAAAGTCAAAAGAAGGTAAAGTGGCCTGACCGCCACACATCATCGATTGAGCATAACCAGCAGACTGTGTAGCTAGTTCAATGTTCATCAGTTCTTTGTTTCTTGAACGAGACCTTCCAAGCTCGTCTTTTTCCTCGTCTGCCACTTCTTCCTCAACCACTTCTTTCTGCTGCACTTCAAAATGGCTGGCAGTAAAACTCCATCTCTTTAGTGTAGCACACACTGACCCTGCATCGTGTAGTGCCAATTGACATCAGCTGCACAACCAGACGCACCACACAGACAGAAGTAGTTAAGATACAGTAGTGCAGATCCAAGGCGTGAGTGTGACAGAGCTGCTGCTGTTTTGGACAGCTGCATGTCAAGGCAGCACTGGTGAGTAGGATTTTACATAAAAACCCCAATGAAATACCCATATATATTTAAATTAATCAAGCAAGTAACAAAATGGTTATTGTGCTTTCCATATTAATGAAAGTAAAATGCTAACTTTATGATAGACAATTATGCATTTGCACTGTGTACAAAGAATATTTATTTTTTGACAGGAAAGCTCAAGACAGACAGGAGAAGGGGGAGTGAGAGGGAAAGACAGGCAGCAAAGGGCCACAGGTTGGACTTGAACCCATGGCCACTGCAGCAAGGACTCAACTTTGGTACATGGGTCACCAGGTGAGCTAAAAGGTTGCCCATCTTTAGGAGAATATCAATTACAATTTAAAAATATCCATATTGTTTTTCTGAAAAAAACACGAGGTGGAAGTGTCTGCAGGACTTCCTCTTAGGCTTTAACTTACACCAATAAGCTCTCCCAACAAGGCAGGACAGACACAGCCTCTCAGTATGGACCCTGAGAGGTGAATCACAGAAAAAAAAAGTCCTCAAAGCACTCGTTGCACCACTCACTGCTTGTTAAGCTGATTGCAGTGCGACCGTGGTGATACCTAGACTCACTAGCCAGCCTCTAAACTCTTCGCTCAATAGAAACTGAGGACTTTCTCTCAGCTTTTATGGTTAGAATTGAGTGGAAACCAAAAAAAAATCTGCATTGCAGAACCAATCTAAAGTCTTTGGGGTGGTGACATGCAGGAGTCATGTGCTTCTAAACACTGTCATACTATATAAGGTTGCTCCGTACATCCATTTACAATGTTTTAAAAAGCTCTCTCCATGTTACCAAGTGATTCACTGTATCGCCAGTATGTTTCACTACAGAGGACAATGGGGGAAGAGCATTGTTTCTGGTATGGAGTGTCCTTGAAGAAAGGGGTGAACGTTTGTTAGCGGCCATTCACACTGTCGTTCAAGTAACTACTCCAGATAATGGGAGGGCACTACGATTGTCTGGTATCGTGAGACTAGATGATACCTGAAGGCGACTCAGATGAGTGTATCAACATGTTGATCAGCTCAGACCTTCTGGCTGCTGTACAGTCAGGCACAGTTTTCAAAAATCAACCTTAAACATTAAGAGTAAGGGGAACAAATCAAGGATTTTGAGTGGGATGTCTATATGGCCTTATCCCCAGTGGAAATGACGCCCTTGCACTTCAACACTGAGATGATTTGGTCAAGGTAACTATACCTTGGTTGTGCAATCAACCACGCTGTATGTGTTTGACTGTGAAGAGATTTTATATCTCATGCTGCTCATTCAACCTTAAAACAACTTGCTGTTTATCGCTGTGTCCTGTGCTTCATTACAGTTGATAAATATCCTACTAAAAAGGTAGACTGGTGCAACACGAGGACTACACACTATAACTTTGGTTCTAAATGTCTCCTACTAAAGTGGCCTCTGTACATTACATCTCCTCTCTAAGTTAGAACTGTTCATCAGAACAGATCCCAAGACTGACTAACTCTAACACCAGTAAATACCGAGCTTAGGAAGACTGCCTTCAGCACTTTGCACCTTGAAAATGGAATCAACTTCAAAGGACACTAAAGCTCTCTTGCAAAAGAGAGCTTGCTCTCAATTACCTGATTAAATAAAGGTTACACAACAGCAACATTTCAGGTGGTGAAAACGATTTCTCAATACGAATTTTATAAAGTCCATTTTAACAAAAAGAAATTACATTACACATTAGAGTAAGATTACTCACTTCAAAGGAGCAAGCTGTTCAAGGAGTTGGAAGTAGCTGGAAAAACTGCTTTTACTCACACTGCACTTTGCTCAATAACTGGACTAAAATGAAGACACGGATGGAATATATGTACAGTATTTGAATATACAATTAAACTTAAAATTACATTAAATTCCTAAACTAAAATTAAATGTCAACGGTGTATTGTTGCAATAACAGTATTGCAGTATTGAAAAATCATTTTATCTGACTGAAATAAAAATAAAAACAAAACTAACTACAAAAAACTACAATACAGGAAAAGTCTTAGTCTCATTTGTCAACACAACAAGCATGATGCGGCACTGGTGCATGTTTATTGAGACTGGGATGTTAACAACACGTGTTTGTGTTGTATTAACTATTCTGAACTTTTTTTATCTTGCTCCTGAAAAACACCTCCCATTTTATAATAAAAAGTACTAAAACTAATACTGAAACTAATACTAAACACTTTTGAACAACTAAAACAAAACTGAAAACAAAAGTTAAAAACCAAATAGAAACCTATGGCCCTTTGCTTCATGTCATTCGCCCTCTCTCTCCCCCCACCTTCCTAATGTTCTTCGACTGCTCTTATAGGCAATAAAAGTAAAAAAATAACCCAAATAAATAGATACAAATGTGGAATCAAGTAAGCAGGCTCTTGCAAGTACAGGTGTGTCTGTAAGAGAGTAGATTTATATGCTGTTAACACATCTTTGGAACCATGTGTTATTTACAGAAGAAATAATCCCTAAGAAGACAACATGTTCTATCCAGACCCCCACAGTAAGGGCAGAAATCTCAGAGACAGATATCTTTTTACTGATCCTGAACTAAAATCTAAAATCTAATTATAAGCTGGCTTTGATTAGAGAAATTCAAAATGATCTTAATAGATTAAAAATTCAATCAGAATCACAATAATAACTGCAACTATACTAGTCACAAAAAAATCAGTGTTAGTACACAAGTGCCAGCTTGAATGTGGATGGAGATAACGATTGCCATTATGAGTCACAGTAAGCTCCTAACATGCACACAGTAGGTGCTGTTGCTGTGACTAGTTTTTGCCTGACTGCTCAAAACGAGCCCCGAATCACCGTCCTCTCCCTGCTTATCTCCCCACATGCAGGACCCAGCCCCAGTTATTTGTGATAATCCACAGATTGTAGGCAGCTAACAGACATTTGTTTTACGACAGATGCCAGATTCAGATAAACATTTAATTAGCAACTCATCAGCTCTGTCAAAGCTAATTACCCCAGTCTCCAGCCCTAGCCAAAAACTGCTCCTCTCGCAGTTGGTCTGCACAGCAGCTGACTCTGCTGGCTGCGGCGGGACGCGAGGAGCCAGAGGCAGCACGGAGACGAGGCCCCCATACTGCACCGGGATTGTTAGCGGCTAATCCAGCCATTCTGCCGCTGCCGACTCTTGTGGGTCAGAGCAGTGAGGAGAATGGTTTAGATAGAATTACAGGCTGAGACAACATTTTGCTATTTATCAGCACTTTACACGCCTGTTGTGAAAATTACTGCTAGCGAGGTGTCTTGGCAGCGCCTTTGGTTGTCACGACAGCACATTTCTCAGCGCTCAGAAGGAGTGTGATGTGAATTTTGGGAGGCATGTTGGACGCTGTTTGGCTGACAAGTGATCTCTAGGAAGTGTAGTGTAAAAACAGCACAGAAGTGACGGCAAAGACTCGGCTGAAAAGAAGAAATAACTGACAGAAAGTGGTGATAGCAGTCTGCCTTCCACCAAATGACCACAGGCTGACTCCACTGCCCTCCCGTTAGATGATCACTGTCAGGTTTATGTGCATGTAGAACATGTGAAGAATGACATGGTGAATAGCACATGTGGTCAGAGAACAAAGTTGGGAATCTGAGGCATCATCTCCATGGTTATTAGTTATTGTTGAGCCCTGCAATTACTCAAATTAGAACTCTGCACGCTTACATATTATACACACCAAGGAATCTCTATAGCATTCACATCAGCAGCTTCTCTGCACTGACCTGTAACCTAGCAACCGCCTGACGTCTCACACAAGCAAATGATTAAAGGTACCTTCTTTTCCATTCCGAGCATGAACCCTTTGATAGATTTTCCCCCCTTCGACTTCAGCATTCTCTCCTCAGTAGCATGCCAAGAACACTCATATTACCTACAAATATGAAATATGAATCGCCACGCTGTTTTTAGCCTTTTGAGTCCAGGGGTCCGGAGCTGCTGTGAGCCTGCAAAGCCCCATCATTAACTGCTCTGGAGTGCTGTGGTGCATCTGGCTTTTCATGTCACACCAGGACAGCGGTTGATCTGCAGGGCCGGGTGGAGGACTCTTTGGTCCAAAGAGAAGCCCAACTTCTAAGCCTGCACCAGTCCATGAACACAACTAAACGATACACGCCAGTGTTGAAGGCGTTCGGAAGGTAGTAAGCCTTTGCAAAATTACAAAAGCATAATTATAAGGAACAGATTAAACAGAATATTTGTCAGCTCTTACATGAGCTGCAAACATCAGCATGTCGGACAAACTCAGTAGTGACCTAGTGTTACTTCCAGTGAGAAGTATTTTTAGTTAACTTTATTATTGTGTTCCAGGAGCAGAGATGCTACTACGTCAGAGTTAGCACATTAGCAGCTCTGTCCTGCTCTTCATTAGATTTGGGAAAGTTTACACTCAAAGTGTAACACCCAAACGTGCTACCCGAAACAGTGTTACATTTGTCCAACATGTAGTTACTCATCCTCACAGCCTTTTCTCTTAGATACAGATAGAAAGATACAGTACAATACAACGATAAGCTGCTGTGTCTGCTTGCCCAAGTATGTTTTTCTACAGTAAGCCTTAGCACCAGAGTTACATTATCTACATATCTATTGGATGGATTGTCATGTAATATTGCACAGATATCCATCGTCCCCAGACGATATCCCTGACTGCTTAAGTGCCACCATGAGGTTGACAATTGTGTTCAGTATGTTCCCCATTGGATGTTTGTTTGAATTTGTCCTTTTTTATACCTGCAAAACAAATTAAATTCCCATTAGCTTCAGCTATTCTTTGTTTAATGCTATTAGCAAATGCTAGCACGCTAAAAAAAGATGGTGAACATGGTATACATTATACTGAATTAGATATATCTTTAAGGCTTAAATTTAAACAGGTGACTTATATAAAAATGTACCCCCGTACAGCTGTTATGAACAGGAAAAGTAGCTATAGAGAGCAAAACTGTTTTTGTACCAGGCTGTAAACATGTTTCTGCTGTGAAGTTGGATATTTCAACATGGGGCCTTATGGAGATTGACTCACTTCTGTATCCAGCCTCAAGTGGCTGTTAGAGGAACTGCAGTTTTTCATTTTTCAGCCACAGAGGTTTCAGGTGGCTAGAAAGGAAATCTCGACAGGCATAGCAACAGTAACTAAGTGAGCTGGGGCTTAGCGGAGGGTCAATTGGATGAGTTAGCACCGCTGCTGCACTACAAGCCAATCTATGTCTCCACACTACGCTTGCATGAGTACTGTGCTTGTGTACACAGGCAGAATCTACTTTAAAATGCCACCTGAAGGTGTAATTTGGGAGTTCTACATAAATTGCCTCACTCTGCATCATTGCTTTCCTCCTCCTACTTCCCCTCATCTGCTCCTCCTCCTCACACCTCTCTGTCTCTGAGCGCATTGTTAAGGCTCTCCAATAACCAGATAAAGGAGACACCGGGGAACCTGGGCTGAGACAGCAAGAGCACAAGGAAGAAAGAAGAGGAGGAAAAGATTTTTAGAGCTGGGTTGCACTGTAGTGTGTGCGTGTGCATCTACTGTACATGCTGTTGAGGGATATCTCTGTGAGACTCCACACTTTCTGCTTTGGAGAGGGTTGTTTAATCTCAAATAGGTAGGAGGGAGGAAGAAAGGAGTGGAGTGCAGGGAGGAGGCGAGAGAGGGGGGAGAGTTGGTCTAAAGGCTTGGAAAAGAAGAGACAGGACTGGGTGACTGGAAACGAGAGATAGGGGAATGACTGCATACTGGCACTAAAATGGGATACATTGTGGAGTATGTGCAAATAAAACCAAATGCAGAATCTGGAATGACAAGATAAAGCATCTTTATTCTGGGAGTTTTCTGGAAGAAAGTGGAAATTAATTTAAAGTTATTTATATACATACAAAAATATATACTGTATATGATCAACTAAGACGTGATTATGGCATTAGAAAATGTGCACATAGTGTAGGTAGTTTTACAGATTTGGATTGAGCTAAAATGTGTGAAGTCGCCCAATATTAAATTTATTCTGTGATATTCCCCAACCGTCTTTAGCTCTGTAACACCTCCTCATAAAGTGACTCACAGATACACAATATTTCTAGAATTTCTCCTCAAACACATACAGATAATTAGCATTTTTATAACTTAGATACAGTAGTTCGAACAGAGCCTCCAAACTAGTCATGGCTGATTTTAACAGTCTTTAGCTACTGAAGGCTCAGAAAGCTGCATTTAAAAGGAAGAAAGAAAGAGACAAAAATGAAACTGCAACACCCAGAAAGTAGCTACCCCATTTCTGTTTGTGCCCTTTCTGGGACACTTTGGATTTTGTTCTTGAAATGTGATGTGTCCTGTGGGTGGGTGGAGAGGGATTTCTTGCCACTGGACACGACACCAGAAATTTGGGCAAGCAGACGTGCTTTTTTTATGCAGAGAGTTGTAATTTTACTTAAAGTGAGACTGTAACTTTCGCAACAGTGGTCACTGTGGCCTCAGGGGGTAATTACAGGATACGGCACAGTGAATTTCCCTCAATTTCCTAGGATTCCAGCAAAAATATTGAAAATGAAGTTTGAAGTGTCTTCTCACTACAGTAGCACTGAGCTGTGCCCTTCACTATCTGATATTTTTCAGAACAGATATTCCGAACAAAGTTATTGGAAGTCTTTGCTGGACCGTAGACGATGGGTTACGAGATTGAAAAGTCAGTAAACTGATGTAGTAATCCGGGGTTTCTGCAGGTTTAAATAGGTTAAATTTAATCACCCTGTAATCAGCCAGTGACACAGCAATGTCTCTAAAGTTTGCTTACATTAGCTAACAGCAGCTATCATAAGCTAAGTAGGTTGTTGCAGCAAAAATCTAATTGCCCTGAATTAAGCAACGTGTTTTATTTCTTTTTTTATTTCATTTTAGAACTCAATGTTTCATTTGTAAGAGGAAGACTAAACTATTTCATTTTTTTGCTTGAAAATATTTGGTCCGGACTGAATTGAACCCTTGACCCTGTTGGCACCATAACCACCACAGACTCCTGCTAGATCTGCAGAAGTAAGGCCACTCCAGCTAAAGTCCACTTGGAGGGATTTTCTTTGGTCTTGAGGTTGAAGGTCCATACGTATGTGGGCCCCCTCTGGCGTGTCTTATAGACAGGACACTGGTACACGTTCCTGTTCTCCTGTTTGTCCACAGGAATGGCCCTGATGAAGATGACCGGCATAGACGGTGTGAGCTCTTTCAGTCGGGCATCTACAATCATGCCAGTCTGAAAGACAGTTCAGGAGGGGGAGAGGGGGGAGAGAGGGAGGTGTGTGGGGGGATGACAAGCCAGTCAACCACAGACAGAAACATTTCACAGAGCTGGGGGAAGTTATAAATTACTTTGAAGTGCAGTGGAAACTTCGCCCAGACGCAGACGTACTTGCCATTGAGGCAGCATTTAATAATGTTCTTTTGTAGGGGAAAAAAATAGATGTTTGACTAATCTTGGCCGGCACAAGCGATGTTAAGACTTCCAGTTTGCAAAACACAATATTGTGGTACCCTTGAAGAGTGGTGAAAGTCAGCAGAGTTTGAGCCGAAGTCAAGCTGCCCTGCCTTAAAATACACACTCTATAAACACACTGAAACAGAGTGGTCTGTCTCATTAATTAATCCTCCTACACTTAGCCCCTGACAAACAGAAGTTTCACCATGCATGCACAGTGACTTTCAGGAATGAATGTAAATCCTGATGACTTTGGAAAGCTCTGAGGACAAAGCCCTAATTGCAGCTGCATTTGCTATAAAACTTTAAAGAGGCGTTAAATACCAATAACTTGGGTAAATACAAATGATGGGTATGTTAAAACAGGCCATGTGGGCTCATTGAGATTTAATACAATTTTGTTTAACGACACTGTATATACACTGTTACTACGGTAACAGATATCCGTCTTTATTGTATAGTCTTACAACATATTGAGAGAATAAAAATGCATTACAAAGCTGGAGTATTCATCACCATTAAGTCGTGTCCATCACATAAACACACAAGCTCCCTGCTGTGTAACGTCTGCATTTCTATCATACCTATTCAGCACACAGTCGGTGTTATCACATACAGAATCTAGCTGTCTTTGATGTCTGAAGCCCCTCTGAATAAAATGCAAGGTTCATTAATATAGATGAGTAAGTTTATCATAAATCTTTGACTTTTATTGCTGCACAGAGCTGTGTCCAGATGGAGCGCTGCTTTCTCTCCTATTCACTCTCCGCTCCTCCCAGCCAGTGGCACCGAACTGGCCTTGGGGCCGAGAGGAGGACAGGAGGAGGAGAAGGAGAGTGGATGAGTTGTGAGGAGAAGCCGCCCCGGCCCGTCTGTCCGCCTGTCTATTTGCCCGAGTCTCCAACTTTAATGAAGAAAAAAAAAAAGGAGCGGCTCTTCTAAAGGGCGATCTAAGTGTTCTAGTGCACACTCTGCACATTCCCTAATTAAGAAGTCTACAGGGATGCTCCTTGAAAGCTGGGCGCATATACAGTAGCTGTATGTATGTAGATAGAGCGAGCCCTGGGAAGCTGAGTAATGCACTGCGCTCCGAGAGCTGAACGCAAGCAGGATGCAAAGCAGAAAATTAAAGCCACAAAGGGAATGTTGAGACCCTCCAGGGGCAAAATATTATCAAGTTACTTTGCTTAACTCAGTTTAAAGATGCATTTTGAGGTTAGCTCACCTTATGTTCATATTAGTCAAACATCCATCATCAGAGGTAGAGTGTAAAGGAATATTTCTCTCTTAAATGCTTGTTTTTTGATTTTGTATCCAGACCTTCAGAATCAGCTCTGTGACAGCCAGCTCAACAAAGAAATCAATAAATGACTCATGTACCTGTGTGTCCCAGCGTGCACCCTCCATGTACAGCCCGTGCACATAGGCCCCTTCACGAGGCGGTACACTGAAATCCTCACGATTCTTTTTGGTGACGTCACACTGCAGACACATGCGGTCCAGAGGCCACTCGTTCCTGTCAAACACAGGGAGATTCACTGTGTCAAACAAAGTGGTTTCTATCACTTTTCAGCCTGTGATGTCCTAATGCACAGCAGCCTACCTTCGAGCCATAGCCTGCATGATGGCTGTGAGGAAGGACTGCGGGTTGAAGAAGCCAGCCAGCCACACTACAGAGGGTAACACGAAGTCCGCAGACCAGGCTTCCAGCTCCTTGATTCTGGCCAGCAGGTCAGTGAACCACAGGGTCAGGCCGGACATGGAGGGGTAAGCCCGCTTGGTCCAACTGTCCGGCACCATGTCCAGGAAAATGGCATTCTGAAGGTTCTCCATGTCAGTGGTCATGGTTAGCTCTCCCTGAAGGGTGAGGGCCACAGAAAGGGGGGCATTCAATGTCCAACTGAAATCATCCATTTTGTAGTAAAACATCATTGTCAAAGTGTCATATTTATTGTCAAAGTCCCTCTCCAGTCAAAAATATTTTTATTTTCCTGTCCCTACAGTGTGCTGTTAGAATGCTGTCAGTGCAGAGTTTGACACTAGAAGGATGTTTTCA